AGGGATTAAGATGACCCAGCACAATAGTAAAAGTATTTAATTCAAAAATTGAACAACTCGGAAGACAAGGCAAACACGACAAGCAATGTTGATTCCATACTCTGTTTAGCTAATTTTTCGTTACCAAACGGCACGTGCTTTGTTAAGGAATTTAGGGTGTAATTATTTTTTGATCATATACTAATATTTTATTTTTCCAAGCATGATTGCTTCTTAATAAAATGCAGCCACATAGATTTCTTATATTTAATCAATTTTATTTTAAATCTACCGACTAAAAGGCTGATTCGTGAGTTATACTAATAATTTTAGATCTCCACTTGTGGATGCAATCCCCACAAAATTGTACAAATAATTTAACCCCAAAAAGAAAAAAGAAATAATATATTAATTTTGAATAAGTTAATCTATATGAATGCTGAAGGTAATGAAAAAAATAAATACTACTTCTGATAGCTTTCATTGTTTTGAACATATTTGATTAACTATGTGAGTATTACTCGAGATGATTAGACTGCGGTTGTGTTGCATGTGGAACTGAGATGGGTAGAGAATGGTTGGCAACAGCGACAATTATTTATTTTTACAAGATAAATGAGTGTCAAACAAAAAAAAAATGAAAAGATTCCAAATTTAGTAAAATACTATATGCCATGTTAATGATTTTGTTTGAGATCTTCAATTCTGAAAATATGTCATGACTCATGGACAGGCCTGCTCATGGACACGTTCGTAATTAAATCACAAAGTCGCATGTTTAACGTATATAGATCCAAAGAATATTAACTTTTTAAAGACTTGTATAACGATTGAGTTGAATGTTTTGGTGACTTAAAATTTGATATTATATTACATCGGGTCATTTCGAAAGAGTTGAACGAATATCAACGACCGAAAAAGTACTAAAAATATTTCTTTATTCATATTCTCAATTGTATAGGAGGATTTTGAGACTTATACATACGAATAGTTATTTTTTAATTATAATTCACACGGTTAATGAAAAAGCTATAATATAAGCCTTTAGTGTTCATCGGCAAAATTCACAAAATCAACCCACTAGATACCAAAAAAAAAAAAAACTTGTTAATGTCTCAATCGTTTAGCTACCTAAATATTTATAACCTCAATTGAAAAAATTATTTACCTAGGAATTCAAAATGTTCTTCAAAAATATATATTGTACTTCATTTTGTGGTTATAATTGGAAGCTAAAGAGAGATGAAGACTTATCAGAAGGAAGAATGTCGTTGAATGAGAGTTAGTTAGTGACACTTGCAAGTTGCAATAAAATCTATCTCGAGTTTTGTAATTCTCGTCCTAGTTACAAGCTACTCGACGAGGTTCGAAATCATACCATCAATTTTGTTTTTATATATTCAAACAAATTTAAAGTTTTGGAATCGACCGTGTGAGATTTTTAGGTAATATATATACACAAAATAACAAAAAACCACAAATGGTTCCATATTCTCTACTTGGTGGCCAAAAGAACGATTAGACAACAGATTAAGACAAGAAATTATAAAATGCCAAATTCAAGGAGGACAATGATAGCAAATACTAGTTTCAATTTTTCAAACTCACATTTATCAAACTTTAGTCACTCAAAAATAATTATTCCAAAGAACAAGAAGAAACCCACTTAAGCATTTTTCATCTACTCGTGCAATGTACCGAGGATGTCTTCGTCCCTGAACAGATGATACCTGCGTCCAATCATCAAATTTAAGAAAACTCTTGGGGTAATCCTCCATGGCAATTAGAGAAGCCACTTTCTCTGCCAAGCCCAAACACAAAAACAAAAACAACAAGATCAAATCGAGCATGAGAAAAGTACAAATTCGACCTAAACCCAAAGATGTGTTACCTTGATTCACCAATACCAACCGTAACAATGCCGTCCTTCTTCTCTCTAAGCTCTTGAATAGACTTCACTAACAGGTAATAGCCTAACAAACCACCAGTAATCAAATCAAGCCGATGATTATGTTCCTCCACGAAATAGAATATCGAAGAAGCGTACCAAAAAAATCTCACTATGTATATGTATATGTCAGTTGAGAAAAAGGATCAAAACTGATCAAGCAAAA